ACTCTTTATCATTACAAAATGTGAAGTTATTAAACTCAGTCAGACATATGGTTATGCTGTTACGATCATTCGAAGTTCAGGGCTACATCCGTGCCAGCCCGCAGTGCATTGATTGGAAAAAGTACAGTATATACACTGATTTGGGCTGACCCGATCTCGGGAAAATGCGCCCTGTGCTCCAATGGATATGTTCGATTTTCACAAACTTGTGTCAAAATGACTGCAAAGAGTTATTCTAAAAACTCTTTAAGGCTTAGCTCCTAAAAAACGAACTGCAACGATATCGGAAAAAAATGTGTGTGTGTGTGTGTGTGGGGTCCTCCCTGGCTCCTTTAGGTTTAAGTTCGAACGAGGATGTGGTGCCCGCTGAATCGTTTGACCCATTTGGAACTATACAGACTTGTATAATTATATTCAGAATGAATTGTTACATTCATGCAGACCAAGACTGTCACGCGCAGTGCTACCTCCGACCAACCATGCATTGTTCTACTCCCATGTTTTACTCATTGCCGGTTTTCCTTCGAGACCGGAATTCCTTCCAAGAGGTCAAGATCGAGAGGTCACTCCATTGTCCCATCATGGTCTGATGCGGCCCCACCAGATTATCAGCGGCCTATCAGTGTTTAGGCTGATCTTCGGATGACAATCTTACGCTTGTTTTAATGAAGCGATTAAAACCGCCGTTGTCTTGAAAACCAGTCATAACACAGGAGAATGTGTAATGAGCATAATCACAACAACAAATGAATGGAATACAGTAATGTATATCTCAATCGTTAAGATCCTGTTCCAAATCTGAACATCGAGGTTCTGCGAATGGAATTCAGTTTTCCAGCTCATCCATCAGTTAATATTTAATATATATTATATTATAATATATATATTTTAATATATTTCATATATTTTGGTCCATATCCCTATTTTAAGAAAATAGGGAAATGTTCCGCCTTTCAAGTTGGCGGAAAGATTTATACCTGAAAGCCATCTGCGATGAAAAACAGTTTTGCTGAAAAAGCACAGAAGTCGCGAACGTCTCAGTCTTTTGCTGTATGTGGGAAAACTTAAGCAAAGAAACTTCATTCAACTGTCTATGAACTTCTTCTGGCGTATTAATCGGCGGTGGTTCCTTGCACGATGCTAGAAATCCAGCGCCACATATACCGAGAGTCACAGAAAAAATAAGAACTTGACTGTTGAGATCATGCTACGGAGCTCTGGAAGTGCCATCCGACTTGTTGAGATCCTGAAATGTTTTTCTCAAAATGACGACATAATAAAGGCAAGATGTCGACATCTCGAGATGGCAATATCATAAAAGTTGGATGATGCCATCCTCAGATCATATCACGGGATGATGACATCCTAAAAGTGGATCGACATCCTGAGATAACTTACCATGGGATGAAGACATCCTAAAAGTTGGATGATGACATCCTCAGATAATGACGATAATCATTATTTCAGGATTTCATCATCCAGAGACATCCAGCAAGTGTGATGTCTACCCTTTGACGATGTCGTCATCCCATGCTAATTATTTCCGGATGTCGTCATCCAATTGCTACGATGTCGTTTTCCCATGATAAATTATTGCAGGGTGTCGCCATCCAACTTTTACGATGTCGTATTCTCGAGATAAATTAGCCGCAGATTGTGAACATCTTGCCTGTATCATGTCGTTACCCGAGGAACAATATGTCAGGATGTCAACATGTCGGATGGCACTTCCAGAGCCCCGTATCATGCACCTGCTAAGTTGAGACACAATTATTTTAATGTGCTTTTCATCCTGCGTGGCTGTGAAAACAATACATCATGCCGATCAACTTTCACCACAAAAAGTAGGCCTGTATATCGTAGTCGACAGATCATGGCATCTAATTAACAGCTATATAAAAAACACGGAAAGAAAGGACACCTAAAACAACCATTCACTTCTGCATTTACATGTAAATACAGAAGTTTCAACACCCATGGTATTTCCAGATGGGAGTTTTTGTTTAATATGGAGCTATGCAACGGACCGGCTGTGTAATAAATACCAAACAATCTACATGCATAGGGAGTACTCGTTGGTAGTTTGACGCAAAGAGCAAGGACTTGGTCTATGTGGATGTTAAAAATGGGAAGAAAATGCTCTGCTCATATTCCTTGAAAGGCTGAAAACAAAACAAGGTTGCGCTATATTCGAGTGCCTCGCGACATAATTTTCATCAAACTACATACAAAATACAACACAGTGAACGTAACAGACAGGACTGTGCACAAGGATGCATGCATGCGCTGTATTGAAACTTGAAACTATGCAGACTGTGACGGTGTGCACTCCATTTGATATTAAAATACCCTTGAGAGGCGTGGGAAAACACAACAGCAGCCCCATTCAAAACTTATATTAAATCATGATTGTCTTGTCGGCCTGCTACTGGGAGCTTTCAATAGTCCGTTTGAAAGACATAAAGCCGGGCTAAAATCTCTGAAAAAGGGGGAGAACGCTGATTGATAAGCCTATGAAAACTGTGGAATGAGGGAAAGTCGGCTTTAATGGTCGCTTCACGTTATGTTAATGAATGGCTATATCGTACGATTCATTGCTTTCGGTTTCAACTTGAAGCCTGAGGATGTTGCTGAGAGGTTTTAATGCGAGTAAACAGAACACAGGAAAACCAACCAATGTTCCTGGATATTTGCTTTTTATACCCCATGCTTAAAGTCAGACCAGCAGACTTGCTGTGTCGTGTGGATTGAGCTCTTTATCGTGATGTAATTTCCTTTGTCCATGCACTTTTTTTGTTTTCTTCATCAAAAACTGATACGCTTTGGCTTCCCTGTTCATTTTCTGCCGTGATCCGCTCTAGCGTTTACTGCGGTACAACAGTTTCCCTTTTTGAACCAAACGACAGACACCGCATGAAAAGATACATATTACACAGTGCATGCAATGAGCAAGTTGTCATCAGATCAGCAACTGATGACCACCTGTTTGCAAGCACCTCTGGGCCGGATTAGCGGGACGGCGACAGCAATGCAAGAAATCGTGACCTCTGTCTGGTTATCAAAATTTAACGGGCTGCGGAGGTTGTTTTCCCACGGAGACTCAGTTCACGAAATCGACTGCTTGTGGAGGTGGGGTCCAGACTGCTGATCAATGTAATTCAAGTGAGGTTGTGTGGTGCCCTGGGGTGACAGTGCCCGTCCCCACTTAAGGTGAAGAGTTGGCGCACTGCACTTCGAAACGAACTACATGTACATGTACATATTTACTTGATAACACCGCGGACACACACGGAGTTTCGTTTTTCGGTGTCATTTGAAAGGTACCATATATGCTGATCTCTATCCCCTGACTTTAATCAGTCAAATAAATAGTTGTTCAAAATATCGCAAAATTATTGTCCATCTGTGGGCGGAGTCAATTGGAATTCATTTCACCCGTTTAAGTGGTCTCGGGATTTAATCACGACAGTATACTTTAATAGGAGCCTCGCGACCAATCTAACTCTGGCACGAAATATCAGAAGGGTAAGTGACTAGGGTCACATCGCAAACGTCCCACCTGTTCGTGAGTTTGTTTGATTTCGTCAACACTGTGTCAGTTTCGCTTGCGACTGCTATAGAAGTCGATCGTCCCTTAAAACTATGGTCAAGACACTCAGTCATGAAATCTCCCAAATGAAGCCTGTGGTGTAAACCTATAATAATAACGTAGACAAAGCTTTGTATGGAGTGTGGCAAAAAGGCGAATTAATTGGGAAACATGCAGCACGACAGGCGGTTCAATTTACACAATTAAAGGTATATATTTCCCCTAAGTTTGCTTTGAGAGTTTTTCAATTATATACGGTAACTTTGGACATCCTACAAAAGTGGGCATGCTACAAAGATTTAGGCCAGTTCACACTACAGGCAACTGTGAAAGCGAAGCCAAATTGGACGTCACGAAAAAAAATGCAGCAAAAAATGGCTCAAGTTGAAATGTGTTCAACTTTTTTGAATTCGCAACCGAATTTTGATCTGAACTCACAAAGTCGCCTTTGTATTTCCTTTCGCACAAGTTTGAACCTTGAACCCAGTTAAAATGTCATTAAATATTCCATGTCGATAGGTGGCGAGCTCCATTTCCAGAATTGGAATTGTGGCCTCCGGCACTTACTCTAAAAATAAAATCCAACCTTGTATTAGCTGACGGCGCATAGGTATCGTTATTATTTTCATTATTTTTTTTTAATAAAAGTTGTTATAATTACAGCTAATGGGTCATTAGGGAGACATTCCCAAAAGAACATGCACAAACTTTTCCAACTTTACTGTCCCATAATTCAATATTCCCTAATATGATATGAACCAAACTTTGTATGTTTTCATTTTAGGCCCTAAACTATCATCTCTCAAATATGGACGGTAAAATTCGGCCTCCTTCTGGTAGTTTGAAAATAGGGTGTCACTGAAATGTCTCCCTAAAAGCCAATGAAAAATTTACCACAAAATGTCTCCCAAATGACCTATTTGTAAATATTATGCAATGCGAAGAAAGTCTACTTTCGATTTTCACAGACATTTATCAAACAGGATCTGTGTAAAAGTACGGCTTAACCTCGTAATCACAACAGAAAAGAATCCGGCCTTGAGCACAACGCATAAAGGCCATGGAGACCAGGTCTTATGTAATCACAGATTACCCACACGCGGTGCTCCAAGTAGTAAAGAGCGCCGAGGCGCTATAGTGTCGCATGCTGTGACCGCTCGGTTCCGCCCCGTGCAAGGCCCCAAAAGGTATCCTGAGCATTACAAAACGCATATGGATACATCCCGATTCCCAAAGTGCAGTGCTGCTATCGAGGCACTGAAAGTGTTCCAATCACATAAAGCCACACAATAGCAGATTCACGATTCATATCGGCATATGAATTGGAATTCTTAGAAATGTTGAAAGAGCGGCTTGACCCTGTTGACACAGCTTGAAAAATAAAATTCCCCGCTTTTCTTAAAACAAAATCTCGAGGCTAAACATGTCTATATTTGTACGCTGGATAGTCAGTTTCAACCTGGTATAGTGGCCCCTCCCTCAAAAGGTTGCAAGTACAGGCACTGCCTATTTTAAGCATAAAATGTCAACAAGCGGTATCTTCCTCCATGTTACAAGTAATACAGTTTCGAAGAAAATTAATTAGGTTGATCTTTTTTAAATTTCACCTTATTTGCTTTAGGCAAACCAGAGATAATGCCCCAGAAAACACAGGCAATCAAGATTAAGTATGCGCCACTTTCTAGTCTATATAAAACAAAGCGCTTATTTCACCTTTGCAACTTGGTACACAGGACATACTGAGAGGGCTATGCACTGGAACACTCCGAGGAGTAAACCATGTAAACTGATAGGGCCTACGTGGCACAAACTCAATTCTGAGTGCTTTCGTTTTCGGGGGCACATACCTGAATGGCCAGAAGCACGTGAGATTAAATTAAAAAAAAAACTCACAGCCTACGTCATTTATCAATCATACTGCCAACAGACATTTTAGAGGGGGCAGTATTCTGTACTCGTATGATTAATCTCTTTCCGCGATCACTCCAAGCAACAAGGCCCACAGAAAAAAGATCTGGTCAAAGGACTATGGCTCTACAGACAATGCAAGCTTATTTCGAATAGGTCAGGTCTACGACTCCATATAGACCGTTTAAAGTATTACTCGCATACCAGATGCTTACTCAGATTAGGGAAGTTCGATCAGCGACAATTACGTTAACCACTGGTCGATTTTGCCTGGTGCCCCGTTCACACTTCATGCCTAAGTTACCAGTCAAAATCTGTCGCTGATCGAACTTGCCCTTAGTTTGAGAAGTACTGATGACATTGATTGCATCAAGTTCTATAAATGTGAAGGTACTGGGGGCTTGGGAGCCTTGTTTATCTAACGATTACCGGATCACATAATAGTATCACACGTAATCTCCAAACGGGGGATCCCCTTGGCGTTAGGAGTCTTAAACTCTATTGTTTTACTTTTTTTAAATATGCAATGTAAATATATCATACTAAACTTATTTGCTTATTTTCACGTAACATATCATATCATAATACTTTTTATTATTTTCGATACACAAAGCTGTTTAGCATATTGAAAACGCCCCGCTCTTCGTGACGGATAAAACGATTTTTGAATCTACGGCAATGGCTTTGAAAGCTGCATGCTGGTCGGGATCCAACTGGTCTGTTCTGTTCATTTACATTCAGCATGTCCACATTATTATTGGAAAATATACTAACACACGTACTGAAGCATCGCTTGTGAATGCCAACAGTCTGTAAATGTTTGTTCGTTTATGCACGTTCATGCATACAACCCACTCCTCCCACAACAAGTTCTCTTCCGTAAAGTCTTGAGAGTGTCCGAGGGATCCGGGATGTGGTCCCACTGACGGCGAAAGATGCAACCGAAGACCGTCTTGAAGTGCGGGTGCTTGGTGGCATAGATGAACGGATTGACGCAGCTGTTGATGAACAAGATGGCGGCAGCGTAGGGCAGGGCGGGGTCGCTGTCGTCGAAGAAGAGACAGATGGCGTAGGGGGTCAGGCACAGCATGAAGGCGCAGACGATGTAGAACATGTTCTTGGTGATCTCTGTCTGGCGGCGGCTCATCCTGGAGCGACTGACGGTCCTGGACCGGGTCGGGGATTGGGGCAGGTGGTGGGAATGGATGCTGTTGATAGTGACCACCGATTTCGACACCACAGAGAGCCGGTTATCTGTTGAATCAATGGAAGCCTCTGGCGACCCCACCATCTTCTTGGCGTGGAGATACAGGTGCCTCCAGATGAGAATATAACAGATGATAATAGTAACGAGGGGGACAGGGTACAAGGTCCCCGCAATGATGAGATCGTAGTTATTGGAGCGAGGGTGGGATGAGATGGAACCGCAAATGTGGTACTTTGGGTTAAAACCGACGGCACCCACGTCCAGGACTGGCGGTAACAAGACAATGAGCAGTGGGAGAAGCCAAGCAAGTATCAACCAAACTGCGATCTTCCTCGGCGTGTAGATAACTCGGTAGGTGGTCGAGGCTCGGGTAATGAGGAGCAAGCGATTCAGGCCGATAGACGCCAGCATGTACAGACTGCAGCCAACCGTTGTGGCCTGTGCAATGGCGACCACTTTGCAAACCCACTCGCCAACTGGCAAGCCATCCCTCCCGAGCAAGGCTATGGCGTCCCACGGGATGACCAGACAGGTCAGCAGGTCCGCGATGCTCAGGCTCACCACGAAGGCGTTGGTGGTCGTGCGGAGCTTTTTGGACAAGAGCACGGCCAGGAGGACCACCGAGTTGCCGACCGTTCCTACGACGAAGGCGGAGAGAAACATGGTGGCGACTAAAACTCGCTGGGTATAGTCGCTGAACTCGAACGTTGGGCTCTCTGTCGAATTATCCATCACTGTGTCCGTCACACCTTCCTCATCCATATTTACGGGTGTTTGTGTCGAGAAGCTGAATATAAAATCCAAGTCCACAAAACTTGGGTGGTTTTCGCAAAGCTTTTTGGCGCAGCTTTTGACGCCCACAAAATTACGGTGTTGAAGTCTTCACAAAATACAGGGGTGACTCCAGATACAGTACCTGGGTGTCCTCAGTAAGAAGGTATACGGCAGTCTTTGTTTGTCAACGCATCGTTTTCTTCCGGGTATCGGTTGCTTCCGCGCAAACGAAACACGAATGAGACTGATTAGGCCAGACAGTGTACTTCCAAGTTCACCTCAACAGAAACTGAAAGCACATAAAGGTAAAATCGATCTGCGATCAATTCCTGTTGCGGAGAAGTAAATCGCCCTGTAACACTGCCTAACAACCTGTTGAACTCGGGGTTAAGGAGTCCAAAAACTCGGCAAGGGTGCCCTCGCTATTTTTGTTCTGTTATACTTCGTCCGTGTACAGTACGTTGAAGCATTCTACGTGTTAACTCGTTGAGGACTGTGGGTAAACAGTCCGCGAAGACTTGACAAGGACACATGGGACGATATTATTTACAGGCTCCAATGTCCGGGTGTCACAAGGACGCACCGATAACTCACATATGCGCAACATCCGCAGATGACAATTAAATTATTTAGGGACCACCAATGATCTCAATGGCAGATATCCACCGATCAACCACAAATGCAAAAAGAACAGGAAGGTTATATCAGTTTTCCAGTTAGCTCCTGTCAAGTCTGTATTATGTGGAATTCTCGAAGCTCACATGCATACAATCTGTCTAACATGAAGAAGAACATGCACCTTCCAACCAATCTATGCAGTTGGGTTGCACCTGTTAGGCCTCGGCCAGTGTTCAGAGCACTTCAGTCCACAGATGCCGTAGAACCAATATTCCATGGAAGTGCATCATGAAACGTGCTTGCTCAGTTTAGTTCCTCCCTTCAGTGGCAGTTACAATTATAGATATACATGTATGTACTCCATACGGGGTCAACAGTCGTGCCCTTGCATAGTCCCTGTTGGCTCACAACGCGACGGTGTCTCCTTCCAAAACAGTTGCAATGCGAACGGGCTCTGTGCTGTGACATACCGGTACGCGGCGTCTGCAGTATAGGACAGGCCTAGGCCCGTCCGTGCCAGGGCTTCTCGGTCGAACTGATCACTGTCCGCGTGTTTCATGTGTAATCAAAGCGTGACGTCATCAATACACTGGTCTGTGCGACGATTTGTTTGAACAACTTTTCAGGTCACATAAAGTCCTGGCACCCATGCCTTTTCCCCCTTGATAAAGCAGCGAGGCGGTGCTACGCAATGGCACCATTCATGTAAGCCACAGAATATCATCCATGGTAAAATGTTGCCCAAGTGATGTCATGCGTGAACCCCGTCATAATCTCGCGTTTTCGTGTTGACTCAGCACGGATCGATATTTTTGCTTTGCATTAGAAAGACGATGGGTCTATTCACAAGGACCTCTGTTTGCAAAAGAGGCCAAATATAGAACCTCGGGAAAGTCCTTATTTAGCATGCGCGCTAAAGCCAATTCAGTTGGCTGTCGTGTGCTGCTTACAGTTAATATTCAACATCGATTGTACAAACCAAAGACTTCATTGCTTTACTTTTACTTCGCCCTTCGTCATTGCACAAAAGTGTGTTTAAAAAAGGAATCTGAAATTAATTAGCTAATATCTTCGACATGGTTAAATATTTTGGAAATTGGCAACCACCATTTGTTAACTAGTGATGTCCTTTTTCATATGACTCCAAGAAATCCAATCTACTGTCACAGATGACTGAGCACGAAGCAGTTCAATCAACCATGTCAGAACTGGTCTTGCACCAGATTCACCGCAGCCTGACTCCAATAATTTTATTCCTAAAAAAGAAGAAAAACCAGAGCGTCCTTAACATAATTTGTATTCAGTAATATTATTTAACATTTGGGTGCGTTTGCCTGTCTCGACCTAACCCCATTGTCCTTTGACAAGCCCCAATTCCTGTCAACACTAGATTCGGCTCTGGTTCTCATTGCTCCCAATGCATTCCTGATTACGTCTCCTCTTAAGGTCTCAACTGCACCGACGATTCTGGAACATGGGTCATTGATATCTTGGGGTGGCCACTTGTAAATTTGGTTCTCAAGATGTCCCCATAAAAGAAATCACAGGGGGTGAGGTCAGGGGACCCTGGGGTGCAGTCTACTAATTCAAGTGAGAATTTCTGGTCAGCTCATTAGCATTCAAAGCACCCCCACAGTATCTTTTGAAAAAGGACACTGTAAGTGGTGAGATTGTGTAAATCTTTGCCAGTCTCAACTTCCGGGGACTTTGGGCTTTCATCTAAGAACAGAATGACAAAAAATACGGTTGAAAAATGGTCCTAAGTGCCCGAGAGAGTTGAGGGTTGCCACTTGAAAAATGGCTGCAAGCAGACTTCGAAAAAAAAAATCACGGGGGGATTTCGTGTTGTGGGAATAACTCAAAATGTAATCGGTTAACCCACAGAAAATTGAATAGACATTCAAAGATTATAGGGACCATACAATAATTTAACGTGTGTTTCAGATACCTCAGGGATGTTAGGACGCATGTTATTGGGCCCTAAACAAAGCCGATTTTACACTGTTTTCAATGGGGCTTGATGAGTGGACTACACCCTTGGTGGCCACCCAGTCTCATGGCTGATCGTAGTTACTCTCGTATTCAACAACTCTCGTAGCCTTTTCCTCACGATAATCCGACTATGAGCTGGAGCTCCATCCTGGGCCCACCATACGCGGCGAAACATTGTACCGTGGTGTTCAAAGTGTTGCTGTGACTGCGGCACAATTTCATTGTTCACCATTGAAATTGCCATCAGAGAAACAGGGTCCAATGACAGTGCCATCTCCACACAGACCTATCCAGAGAGTAATTTTCTCTCGGCTCATCAAAACCGAAGTTGGGTGGGTAAGCATCGGAGCGTATTCGCGGAATCCTGGTTATTGATTTGGCCATTCATGAAAAACGCTGCTTCATCCCAACCACAAAGTGATCCAAGAATCTGGGATGTCGGTCAAGGAACCACTGGCAAAATCTTAGTCGTCTGGGTCGATCTGCATCAAGGAGTTCGTGTCGCCTGTGCATCTTGTAAGGGTACCATTGGATGTCCAATCGAAAAGTCTGGTGGAAAGAGGATGGCGAAACTCCTAGCCCATTTCTCCTGGCAGACACACGAGGATCTCTTTGCAACAACTCACGGATGGCCCTGATGTTCACATCTGATCTTGCCATTCTTCGTCGGCCTGAGCGACCCTTGTTGAGGTTCAAGCTTGTCCCCTCCCTTCGGTACTTTGGGTGTCTTTCCAAATTGTCGACTTGGCGGGAATGGTACAGTCAGGAAAACGCTGACCAAATGCATCTGCCACTTGCTGGAGGTTTCCAGTCCTCGACCACTGTTACTACAAACACACGCTGCTCAGTTGTAAGATGCACATGCTGAGGATTGCACTGGGCAGACAAGTTTCTTTACCAAAGCGTCTCTCTGGTGCAAGACCAGTTCTGAAATGGTTGATTGAACTGCTTCAGTCATCTGGGCAGTCATCATATTTAACCATGTCCAAGATATTAACAAATTAATTTCACTATCCTTTAAAAAACACACACACGCACACTGTATAATAAACATGGGTTCAATACGATACGGGAGAGTGCTTTTGTGTGTGACTTTTGATTCAGTAAGCAAGTTGCTATGCATGTCAATTTCTTCTTTGTTATAAAGATAATCACTTGCTTTGGGGCATGTGATCAGTAAGGGGTTATGCAGCATACCTGTGTACAAAAATTGTTTATTTCTATGGGGCGAATTTTTACGTGTGGCCTATGACAGAAGTGGCAAGTTTCTTTTGCTGTCCAGTGTATTTATGCCGTGCAACACACCTGCCGATTTTTTTAATCCTTTCTCGTTGGTGCTATCACTATTATGTCCCCCATCAGCAGATGATGTTTTTTGGTTTCGCCGCTGGCACACCACAATGTGAGCAGGTTTTGCAACGGAAAACATTGCCCATTTAAGACGCTGAATGTGCAAAGCCGAGAGAAAGGTTGATTAAGAGATTTGGGCAAAAAATGCATTGGACGTCTCACCGGACAAGTTGTTACATGAAATATACTTTCAGATAAAGAGCCAAAACGTGCGCTCCCTAGACCCTTTTCTGTTTGCAACGGATAGTCACTTTATTTACGTAACAACAAAGCCGCGTGTTGCGCGCATTAAGGTTTTACCATTTATATAGGGTTAACAAACTTTTTAATATGTACTTTAGAAGGTTTCAATTTATCCGGAAAAGACAGGTCAGACACCTGCTACAGGCTTGCACAAAGACAAAACTCGGAAGGAAACTGCGTATAATGGGGGCGCCGTAAATGATAAATCCGCAACGATGGAGCTAATAAACTTTCACTGTGGGTCAGTTAGACAGGCTTATCTGTCGGCCAGAGTCCAACTTACCAAAACCTGAATGTCGGTCCTGTCAACTTGCGATGCTTCCAATGATATCGTATAATCAGTACAGTAGAATACCATTGAGAGATACTGAAATCATTTATGCTGAAATAAAAACCAGCTCCGTCTATTTGGGCATGGGGGGATCGAGGTACAGTACCAGTGAAGGATTCTTTGCAAAAACAATAGACAATTTTAATGCTTGGATTTTTGGTCCATGGGGGAGGGTGGGGCTGCTCGCCGAGATACGGGCTGCTTTTCCGTGCCCCAAATTTCTCAGTTCTGTGAAAGATGTTTGCGGAGCGATTGGGTGTACAATCTTTTTTTGAGTACATCGTCGAGAGGCGCCGTCCAGTGGAGCGTCCAGTGGCTCAACCGGAGCTGGGGGCTCGGGCTCGGGGGTTTAAGCCCCCGGAGCCCCCAGGATTTTTTTGTTTATTTATATTTGTTTTATGTTTTGTTTTGCTTTCTGAAAAAGAACACGCAGTACATATCTACACGCTGAACTAGTAGCTCTGATATAGTCATAATTAAGTTTCCTGCGGCACATCTGGAGTCCGGGCGTGAGCATCATGAGCTCGTTTGGAGTGAATTCCAGCCCGAGTGGCCCCCTACGACAAATCCTGGGTGTGTATCCGATCTTGTTCATTTCTCCTTTAGGCTTTGTTACGTGATTAAGGAGCACTTTTAGCAGAGCTGGATTAGGTTGCGCCTAATTTAACCTTAACCCCCTAGGGTGTACGTAAAATAAAAGCGGACGTTTCGAAGAGGTGAGGTTGGTTCTTAAATTAACCCAACTACACGAATGTGCACATGCACTCCGGAAAAGACATCCACGTCATGCACCCGAATTGCTGTTTGAAAGAGTCAACAACAGCCTCGCGTCAAGAAACAACTATAGTTTCATTAGCGTGTTTGCTGCTTTTACTCGATGTGCTAAAATATCGAACACATGAAGCAACCTTGTACTCTTTCCAAACAGGATCTATCAGTATCACGAATGAATCGGACTCCTCCAGCTATTGATAGCTCACTATTCAGAATTACGCTGGGAAACTATGAACATCAGACTCCTACTATGTACATATTATTGCCAATTTAATTAAATTGCAACTAGTTACGATTCTGCAGGGTCCTATAGTTAATTTCATCAGGCCAGCACAGTTTTTGTTAGATACACTTTAAGCTACATCTAATTGATGCTAAATGACTTGTATTGACAGTGGGTGAATGACAAGTAAAAATCTACAATGTGCAGCCCATGAAGATCGTATCGTATCTTTCGGGAGAACACACTTTCTTTTGAGTAGCAGCTGAAGAATAAATATGTGAAATAAACCTGTACAAACACTTTGGGCAGTGCAAATATTAATGTTTCCAACTACAAATTTATTCCAAAGATTGTCTCAGGCTGAACGCTGAAAGGGTACTGCGTTCCTTTATTCTGATTTACTGGTAACACGCAATGTCACAGTATTGTTCATGTTGAAATTTTGAACTAAACTAATAATCGTGATGGATCAAAACTTCAAAGAAACTATATTTAGCTGCAGTTACGGAGATACACTCGCCAAAAACTGCCATAAAGTCCAATCTAATTATGGCTGTGGATATTTTGCCGTCGCCGATAAAAGATCCATGGCGATAATCTGCCGGTAGCCTTGTTCTGATTGGTCCATATTCACCGTTGTTGATGTACGTGTACCCTAACGTGGCGCGGCCCTTGATGTGGCCAACTTATTATTCTTTTTTCATGACAAGTGAAATTATAATCAAGCTCAAATATTCCTATGCATAAATCTCAAGTTTCCGTTTCTCTTTCACAGTTCTGGTGAAGTTTTATTTCAACAAGCGTCCAAAAAAAACGGAATAATTTTCTTCATACTTGAAACTGGACATGTGAGTGAAAATGATCATTTTAGGGGAATTTATCGACTTCGCAGAACCTCTTAATGTCAATGTGAGATTTTCTGACCGTTTTGAAGTGCACCATGTCAGGAAACTTGACACTTTTCAACACAAGATTTTGGCATGGTGATGCACCACGTCGAGGGACTCCCTATGGTGAAGTTCATAACGTAAGAATTCACTGTGAGTCGGGCATCACGTGTCAGTGATTGTGTGTTTTGACAGAGAGCCGCCACTAGTGTCGGCGTTATTACCAGACTGGTTAACTATCGACTGGTATTGCCGGCAACAGTGACGTCATAAATATGGACCAATTAGAACAACGCTACCGCCAAAATACCCTTTTGGGACTTTTGCCGTCGCCGGCAAAATATCCACTGCCTTTGATTAGAATTATACACCCTAGCCTATAGAAACAAACTCCAACATATAATTTTGAAAATTCACTGGAGCGCATGTTGACTAATATGGAACCACCACACTGGACATAAAATCAAAGATTCTGAAATAATCCAATGACCTCTACATGTACCAGGATGAGAGACACAAATGTCGGTAGCTAGTTTTGAGTAGTACTGAGATTTAAGAGCTCTTTGCCCCTTGTATGCATACAATGTTCAATTGCAAGGAGAGGGATATTTGTGACCGCTATAAACAGCACAGGTTGGGGACTTTGCCACCCGTTCTACAAATATTAACTGCATGTGGACTCACGAAAATGCATGAGCCGAAGGGATCAAAGGATTGGTCGGAACAAGCACTAATGTAATCCTTTAAACAATTGTTAAGCTGCGCCATTTTTAAATAATTAACACGACTGCATGCAAACGGCATTTCCCGCACCACACAACGTGAGAGAGGGCGCTGTTACGACTGTGTATGTGAGCAAACGCGACCGCTTTTGACAAAATGCATCCTACAAGTGAGGCCGTCATGAATTAATATATACTTCTCCAAAAGTCTACAAAATGCAGATCTTGATTTAAAATTCACGACATCCTGCATGCATGGTTATTTATGTGGTTTTGTTCATTTATTAATTCCTTTAATTCATTCTGCCGACATTCAGACTTTTTAAGCAGTTGTGCAAAAGAACAAGCACCAGTAGCTAGAACTTTCTTTTCAAACTACAACGTGTGTACGATAATATTCGCTTTGAAAAGGCGTAAATCTGTGTTATTTGTCGTTTACAGAAAAATCTTAGACATGGTCATTTGCCTACACTGGTCTGTTGAATAGCAGTATTTCCTACTGCAAATTGGCATTACGGGGGTTACTGTTTTGGAACAGCACATTCTACTGTCCATTTTTCTCTGCATACTAACAGGAGATTCTTATGGAAGTGTATTTACGACATGGTAAGAAAAAATTTAATTCGTACGTACGGATTACTACTTTGTACGTACGGTTTTGTAAATAATGACCCTACGCACTGGTTGCATTCTAAATTCTGTCTTGAGCAGAAGCATCCCCTCAACGGCTGAAAAGAGCAATGCTGGTGGGGAGTGTAAGTTGTATTGTAGGGCCGGACGCGTACACAACACATGTAGCTCACTGTCATTCGGGAACCAGCAAAGTTGAATTCCCACCAAAGCAGCCCCCGTTGCTAGGAAATCGCACCCTCTCGTGGTACCACTCGGGCCCAATGACCTGAAGTTTAGTCATGCAATGCAACACGTGTATATCTAACCCGTACGTACGGTTTAGTAATCCGTACGAAATAGTATTCCGTATGAACGAATTAATTTTTTTCCTCACAATGTCCTAAATACACTTCCATAGTGTAGGGTTGAAGCGCCCATAAAAAAATGCAAAATCGGAAGAGAGATGGCACTCCAGAAGACTGTGGCCTTGCGTGTTTGAATAGAAATTCAAGATTATGACCAATGAAAGGGACAACTTTCTTTTTAATTTATAAGTGCTGAGCATGCCAATATTTTTTAATCCCCCCTCTCCCAAATACCCCTAAAAGGTATTCAAATCCCAGGCTGGGGTATGAATGCTGCCGCCCGCCTCTCTGCAGAATAGGCCCACAAGTTGGAGATTCTTGTGAATGGACCAACCCAAGTTGGGAGCCGAAATTCCCAAATGCTTGATTGAGAGAAACAGTTCGGTCCTGATTATGACACCTCTTGTTGCTCATGACCCGTGGGATCACAAAATACGAATGAGCACCGCCCAGGAATCTACACCAAATAATAGTCACAGAAGAAGGAAAAACTACAGGATTGGTGCCCGCTTTTGACAAACGACAGCCAATTTATCGTCCTGCATTGCTTCAGCTCTTTTGGTGCGATATCATGGAAGACATTTTTGTGGATGAGCTGTTCCTGTTTCTCTTCATGAAAACAAGCCTTGACATCAACAACTGCAACATTCAAACATCGATGACAGCATTATGGAATCTTCCACAACACAAACAAACTTGGTCACTGCAATTTCGACGAACCAGACACACCCGTAAACCTATTTTCAGCTTCTTGCTCATACGCACTTCCCTCGGAGTTTTGTACCTGCAAGTTTCATTATAAATCAGACACCCAGAGCGGACGTGAGTTTGCTAGGCTCGCATGGAATTACTAATTTGTTTGCTGCCGATGACCTGAACTCGGTGATCAGGACAGGAAAAAGTGGAGCACCTCTCTCACAGAGAGGGTGCACCAGGAAGCGATACTTATGCCATACAAAGTATACTAACAAAGTAACCAAGACCCTACCTCTATGGGGTGGGGTTGCAGTGACTGGCTTCTTTAGACATAAAAGGCCTGCTTTTATCATAAATGCCCCATCCAGGAAAAGCTCAGTGTGTTTGTGAATTTGACTTGTACAACTCTGCCACAGACTTGTCGCAGTGAGGCACTGTGCTCGCAAACTGGTGATAAACGCAACGTGGTGGCTTCAACATCATGGATCCACGAGAAAACGAGACGGGAATGAGCGAGGCGCTTCAAGAGGGCGAAGATGAAATTGAGTTTCGATTTTCAGACTACAATCAGAGAGTCACCGTAGCCTTTATCTATTTCATCATTTCCATCTTGGGGAGCTTTGGCAATGCGATGGTCATCCTCGCCGTCTGCTTGTCTCACCGCCTTCGGACTATCACCAATGTTTTCGTGGTTAGCTTGAGCGTCGCCGACATGCTCACCTGCGTGGTCCTGCCGTTCAACGCTGCCAACCTCCTGGACTCCGATCTCGACTCCTCCCTACTCCCAGAGTGGATCTGCAAGGCCGTGGCAATGGTCCTGTACGTCTGCGGAGGCTGCAGCCTTTACACCCTCGCAGCCATTGCCATTAACCGGTACATCCTCATCACCAAGCCGGTCCGGACTTATCGGAGCCTGTACTCGAGACGTAAAACGGCTGTCATGGTCGCCGTGACGTGGTTCGTGCCGTTCCTGGTCGCATTCGTCCCACCTTTGTTCGGTCTTGGTGAACTCGGCTACGCTGAAAAGTATGGAGGCTGCACCCATAAGACAAGCAACCCCCTGTCTCACATCTACAGCATAGTCCAGGCTGTTCTATTCTATCCGGGACCAATGACAATCATCATTATTTGCTACGTGAAAATCTTCCGATATGTGCAGCGGCACTGTCGGCAGCTGGCATCTTCCCATGCCGGAGGATCCCTCTCGTCCGTTCGCAAAGGTGACACCAACTCAGATGGTAACCCTAACGGTCCCTGCAAACTGGAGCAACAGTTGGCAAGCCGTAAGCAGATTAACATCACCAAGAACCTCTTTTGTGTGGTGCTGGCCTTTGCCATCTGCGTGTCACCGTTCGGCATAGCCTTAATGATACCGCCGAGCGATCCCTTCATCCCCTGGGCAGCCGCCATCTTGGTCCTCAACAGCTGCGTCAACCCAATCATATACGCTACCAAGCACCCACACTTCAGGGACGTGTTTCGTCTTATGTTACGTTGCCAGTGCTCTACGATACGCCCGAAAAACAATTTTGTAAGACGGAATGTTATCAGGCGAAGATAGCCATTCATATTTAATCCTTATTAATTGTAATAATCTAAAAGCTAATTCTAATTGCCATACAAATCAAACACAGTTCCAAAATTCACGCGATACCGATGGTTAATAGGGCGATTAGACTTTTTGCTGCCGAAGGTTGTATTACATAGAAGAAAAAATGCATTATTTACGAACGTCAATAGTCAATCAGATTTATGGCATTATTCACAAGTCGGGCTCATTGAATTAGAAGCGACTCCGAACCAAAGAACAGAGACGAAAGCAATGAAATAAGTTTCGTTATTCAACAAATGTCATATATCTTGATTATTTCAAATTTTGGGTTAATATATCTTAAGTGTTTTAGGCAACAGTTTCAAACAACGAACCCAAAATAGTCTGGCATCATCCCCCATTCAATAGGATAGATTCTGGGGAAAAATTCAAGAATGCCTCCCCCGTGAACACATTCATTTAGAGTTGTTAACAAAATTTACCCCCGATGAATATGAATTTATATTGCATTATGTACCCATTCTACTGCGTCTATAAAATGTAGTCAGCTGAAAAATAGACTTTTTCAAGAAAAAATGTTAAAATTGTAATTATACTAGCCACGACATAAGAAACTATACAAAAAAAAGAAAAACAAAATAAAATACAACGAAATGTGCATGTACATGCATGTGTGTGATGTTTATTGGTCAGTCGGTGTGGTTTGTTTGTTTTTTAAGTTTGGTTTTCATGATTTGGATAATTCATTATCAGACTTGCCCTTGACGAGTTGACATTAAAATCTAGCTAACGTTCACATCAAGTCAAAGACGGAAAGGCCGAGTTGTCAAAAGTATTAAGGTTGTCAACCATTTTGAAGCATAATCAGCAAAATCAAATGATTAGTATTTGCTCTTTCTCAAAGAGGTATGGCATCATCTATAAAGAAACTAGTTTTTTATTACTTGCCAACTGGAACGCATTATTTGGTGTTTTACAAAAGAAAAGGAATGAAAATGGTAGTAACAGCTTATCCCGTATTCGGCTAAGCTGTCACAGAAGCGGGAGGTAAATTAGTACAAACAACGAACAAATTGAATATGAGACATTTTGTTCGTATTTACAGTGAAAGTACAAACGTAACCGACGGTTTTGTCTCAAGATGTGAGCTCGTGTTTCAATGATGTATTAAATAGACAGAGGGTAGGGCGGGGGTTTAGGACTGCCATAAACTGGACTGTGTTGACCGCCTTGGCCCGGCGAAGGATAAAGTCGCTGTTTTTAAACTGAATTCATTTTTCTTTCAACAAGTTCAGAAATTAGCTTTCAAACGTGGCTCCACCTCCAGTGGTCTCTGATAGTGAATCTCCTCTCTTCAATAAAGTGTTTTATTGATTTAATAAACGGTATCTCCCAAAACAATGAAACTCGCAGAACACACTCAGTCACAAGAAAAACAAGGGGGCAGGGTGTGTCAGACCTCTTCTTCCATTTATACATAGAGTGCGGAACATGCGTGCGTTTAATATGTGTCCTGCAAGAGGGAACTTCCGGACATGATGCAGGGCTCTGGCTATATATTAACTTGGTAGCTCGCTCCTTTACCCGTAACACGATCAGGTATCGTGGAAACCAGTCATGGCAGCGCAGATTGTCGGGCAAAGAAACGGAAATTAAGCTTTGTTGTTATAAGGGAAGCTCGGTTCCGAATCGAAGCTGAGGAGGTCGGTGGAGTACTTGGTCTTGGCTGTATTTCACATCCAAAATCGTTTTGCAACTATCCTTTTGAGTAAAACAATAAAAGAGATACATTACAGAAAAAGAAACTCCTAGTGAACAGGCAGTGTGCAGCTGGATTGCTTCGGGAGCAGATTCTTCTACTGAATTGCGTAACAGAAGGATATCAAAGCAAATAGAAGGAAGACTCTACGGCAAGCGAAGGGATCCCAAGCGAGAATTAGCTAACTACTCATGGAACACACAGCCATCCTGCACAACGGAGCAAAACAGTGAAACTCATGCATACACAAGAAGTCAGGTGGATACGCAAATGTGTTTTCTCGACCGCTATCACCTTTCAAACTGATCGAGAGTGAAATATCTGCAGAGATTTACTAGCGGAAGTTCGACACATGACATTGGCCAGGCGACTTCGAAATTCCACGATCCAGTATTGACACAGGAATATGCAAACCAGGAAAAAAGCTTCTGAAACATATCTCGATGTCAGAGGTCCCGATTCCGTATAGGACATGTGACAGCACTACTCAAACGGTCCAACACAACTTGACCAATGTTGTATCATCATCAGTCTACTTTTCCATTCCAGCCTCTTGCTCGTCATCAGTGACAACAAATATCATCATTGCCATAGAATTACGGGATATTTAACCTTTCGATGTTTCAGTCTCAGGTTTGATCGACCGTTATCATTTGTTCGTCCTTGAGTGAGCGTCCTCAGTTCCGGGAACCAAGGATAGGAGGCTGCAACGACTAGTGTGCAGCGTGATCACTCTGCTTCGCGACAACTTCAGTTTGGAGGGTCACAAGCAGTGCATGGAAACTCGAGTGGACGACGTAATCGTTCGTTGATACATCGAGTTACCACGAAAATGGATGGCTGCAATGGCAGTTTTGATAATTCCTCATATCGCCAAGACACCGAGTTTGAATTTTGTGATAACACACAACGGTTGATAGTAGCAATCCTCACCGCCGCGTGGTCTGCCATTGCCATTGTCAACAACAGTTTGGTTATAATAGCAGTGATGCTGACGAAGAGGTTGAGAACACCCACTAACGTTTTCATCGTGAACCTGAGTGTGGCGGACCTACTTACCGGGTTCTTCTTCGCCTGGCAGGTCCTGGCAGTCGTCGGTCCGGACGGCTGGCCCTTACCGGACTGGGTATGCTCTGTTGTCTCGGTTGGCAGCACCACCGGAATAGGGTGCAGCATCCACACGCTTGGCTTCATAGCTCTGAACCGTCTGCTTCTGGTCACCAAGCCCTTGCCGTTTTATCGGGCCGTGTACACCTGTAAGAAAATGGCTGTTATGATTACCGTGACCTGGTTGGTGCCTCTCCTAACAGCAACGCTGCCGGGCATCTTCGGTCTTGTGGAACTAGGCTACGATAACAAGTACAAGTTTTGCACCTTCGACGACAGCTTAAAAATGGCGGTTTGGTACGACTACATCATTGTCTTAGTGAACTATCCCGTGCCCCTTTTGGTCCTGATTGTCAGCTACGGGAAAATCTGCAGGCACATCAAGCAGCATTCCACCAAACGAGTTCAGTTTGTAAACGTGGCTTGGAAGACAGCAAGAGCCCGACGACAAACCCAGGTCCAAATAGACATCACTAAGAACACGTTCTACGTTGTGTGCGCGTTCATCGTGTGCTTCACGCCCTACGCCATTTGCATCTTGGTGGAGCCCCTGAACCCGGCAGTGCCGTACACCGCAACTATTCTCCTTCTCAACAGTTGGATCAACCCTGTCATCTACGCCACGAAGCATCCCCACTTCAAGGAGATTTTCAAGTCCATATGCTGCTGCCGGTGCTCCGAGATACCGGAACCGACTATCGCATTCTTACGCGTCATCAGAGCGAAGTCTTCGGTCGATCAAAGCCCTGACGAATACGAAACTGGAAAGATGTCGATGGAACCAGTCTAGCAACTGATAAAAACGTCCAAATGCATACAAAGGCACAGCGCTATACATAATGATTGCAAAGTCGACTTATACACATACACTGCATGTGTAGCTTCAATTGTTCATAAAGTTTTACTTTAGATGTAAAATCAGATTCAGCTCGAGCATGAGTCGTTTTGTAATGACGAAAACAGCATGGTCGATATAAGGAAGTTATTTTCAATTTGCATTGTAAAGATGGGCAGAAGAATTTTAGCCTCCAAAGTACATGTATGTTCAAAAGGTGAACTAGTATTTGCCAATAAAGAAACCAATAAAACGGCTTTGAAAAAAAAATCCTCACAGACAACCGATCTCTGTGATGAGTACAAATCTGTCAGCACTAAAGAACAGAACTGCAGAGCCCGAGTGCCATAAAACCGAACTCGCAAGACACATTCACATTTGAGTTCTTGCTTTGAGTTACATCAGACACACACTTCGGGTTATACCAATCATATTAAATATGATTAACGTCACGATCTGACATGGCAAAACTTTCATTAGATTTTCCTGTTAGCGATTATGGCGTGCGATTTTTTGCGAGGTGATTCGTCTCCTGACGACAGACGGAGCATACTGCCCGAAACGTGGAGTACCGCGTCTGGTTCTTTTCAGAACCACACATACAAAAGAAATATCTCTGCATGGTGCTACCGCAAACCTTTTTGGAACTTTTCATGCCCTATGCATGAAAAGCTTCACAGGTCATGTGAGATGATTTATATTTTCTCAAAGTGTGACTTTGGTGTTCAGTTTGATCAATATGTCTATTTCATGAGCCATAAAGGTTTCATGACATGAAATGTACACAAAAACGTAGTTTGTGGGAACTCTGCGTTGTCTCCGAATAAGTAGTGTTCAAAGCATTTCTGTCAGTACATGTACATTGTACATGTATTTCAAAGGACAGAACTGACACAACGGAGGGCGCCCTGCGATGTCACTTTGACACACACTCCAAATATTTTTTTTGTGTATTACGTGTTACTTCTGGACCCAAAAAGACAAAGAAAATGATTGGAAAAACCCACATCACACATCTAGCAAATTTCTGATGGTGAATTTTAACTGTCCCACGTGACTTTAAATACATGTACATATATATGGACATCCATGCCCATCCACGTAAAACAATTGGGCAACGAACACCTTTAAACGCAAACACAAAAGGCTGAACGAATGTGACGGGAAATCGAATAAAAACTATTTATTACATGCACCTATCTCTTATAGCCTTCACACAGGCTTAGCAGTCGGTTTTGTGTTTGACACCGTACAGTACCTAAACGAGCGTTTAGTAAAATTAGTATAAAATGCTCTGCGAATACAGGCGATTCACAACAGTGCGCCTCTACGAGTTTGCAACGCGTTGACTAACCACATTACGCCAAATCTGTCGACCCAGTGAGCGTTTGGAAAGGGTCGACAGATTTCGCGCACTGTGATTGGTCAACGCGTTGCAAACTCTTGGAGACGTACTATTGTGAATCGACCGTATTAGAGAGGAGGGTTTTGGTTTCCAGGAAGAACAAACAGTCGATGACACAATTTGAGATCTGTCGGCACGACAATGGACATATCTTACTCTGCAGACTTCTTTTCAGCCTGAAAATCAAAAACAGTCTCGTACACTTCAAATTTCTGAGGAGCTCGAGAGCAACTTAATAACACAGTTAAAATAGAGTGAAAAGCTCATAAAGATAAGTAAAAAACCTTTGAAATATTTATTTGCTCAGTAAATTTTTCTCATAGGCTAACAGAGCCAATTCCAATATATGGTTATTTCTATTAGCTACTACATGAGCATTAATGCCTGCAAAACAAAAAAAGTTGTCACCGAAAGTACATCAACCATGTACATGTTATTATGATTTAAACATAAAGTTAAAATTATACCTTTCGATTTTTCAAAGCCAAGGTTAAACATGCTGAAACTAAACTGAGCCAGCAACAAACTGTTTGTGGTGAGTACAGAAAATAAAACTAAAGTGGCATGCAGGTTCAATGAGACCATAAAACAATGGTAGAATATGGAAATTAGTAGAATGCCTTGCTCTTTTAAACAATGATTTATAAGTATGAACAACATAAACGTGTTACTTGTCAGTAGCTTTTGTTTGGTTAGTATACGGAAACATTTAGTTTCGAAAGAGAAAAGAAGCTAATGAGTTTATTGTTTTATTAAAATCAGCCAGGTATTTCAACAGCCTGTGCCCAATCTGAGGCGTGTCAGAGGTCATTGACCTTGCTCAACGTCTTTTTGTTTCTCTTTTGATTTCATGTACACATAAGTTTTTGGATACGCTGTGCCATTATGAACAAAAAGCGCACAACGCTAATTGATCTCGAGTCTGCGATATACTTTACATTATCATAAGCACACAGCCTACAGGTGTATGTACATGTACACTGTACTTCCAAAAATTGTACTCATGTATTATGCACAAGCAAACATTCGTCATCAAATAATACATGTGAATCAAACTTAATAAAGGGCTACTCCAGCTTTTTGATAAAAAATTAACTGAATTAATTCTGAAAAATGTAACCTATGAAAATGAACACTAACAGCAACAATGTCAAAGTATACTAAATGATAAATTAAAAACATCAACAACAGTGTGAAACTGACTTATTCAAAAGGATATTCTTTAATATTCAGCGCAAACAGAGCCGCAAAATGAAAATCAAACAAACGTGGATATATGCTACAAAGAGAGCTCCAACAAGGTTGAATTATGTCAAACTTTTTTTCTATTGCTTAAAATGTGTCACAGGGTCTCAGAAAACAAATTGACACACCAAAGAGAAGACAAAGCAATTCAAACAATCATCTTATTTTTTACAAGCTTGTGACATGAGCATTGTGCAGTACATGTAACTAACTAACTCCAAAGTTCAGATGCAAAACTACATGTATCAGCACTGTCCTCAACTCAAGATTAACCCTACTCCAACAGGTTGTCTGATATTGATTGATTCATCGCTACAGGGCATTATCTCCGTTGACCAATGTTTCAATACACTTTCCAAAACACTTGAACAAACCTGTAACTGAATGGCCTGTTAATGGGCAAAGGTTAATTGGAAGGGTATCAACGTCTCAATTTCAAGTACAGAGAGAGTGGGACAGGCTTCTAGCACCAATTCTAAATTAAGACAAATTAAGACAAATCAGGGGAAAACACCTTGCGTCCACAGTGCACAAAACACTGATTCATCACGGAAGTCTCAGTTAGAAAAACACTTCATGTATTTCAACAGTTTCAAAGGGACAAAGCTCTTTGTCACAAGTCAGGGGGATTTCTAGCAAATGTCCTGGGCCAGAGTTGTGTGGAGAGATTTATAATTTCGAGATGAAAACATTTGAAAACTATCCCTACAAACTAATCCATTGCAAAAATGTGCCAATAGTACACATGGCTTTATAGGATGCATCGAGCTCCATGCCACGTCCCATCAAAAATGACTCTGACCAGAGTGATCTGAGGGTAGTCATTTTGGTTTTCAGCAGGTGAGTTTGTCAGCCCGATTTTTTAATTGTGGTGTGTGACTGTTCACACCAGAAGTAATGCTTGTGCAGAATTCCGTCCAAAGGCTGAAGTAATTCAGAGGATACACCTACATTGTGCCGTCTAAAACAGCAAGGGTTAAGTTGCTATGAACTTCTTACCTACATGTACCGGTACATGTACTGATACTTTAGGGCTGAGTCAATTCGAATAACTCACTATTCGAATATTCGACCTTCGGTCGTACCGACCGATAGATTGTTGATGAACAAACCATACACAAAATCAGTTGCAATAATGCATACAATTGTGCATTATGAATAATATAAAATGTAATAGCTTCTCGAATCTAGGAGTATCTCCAAGATTTAGGAGATGAACAATACTTTTTGCTAAGTTGAAAATTTGTGTTCATTTTAAATTGTTTAATGAATAATTAACTTTTTGAATCGCTTTTCATTTAAATCTGCTTGAAACAAGCTTCCATAGTGTAATTTTGTTCTCATTTAAAGCAAAAGAAAATGTTCCCTTCCTTTTTATGAATTTCTCATTCAAATATTCACATTCAGAAAATACCATTCAAATATTTGATAATCGATCAAATATTCGGATATTCAGCACAGCCCTACGGTACTTCTTTGGTAATCACCTTCTTGTGGTTTCCTGATAAAAATCAACTGTTGCCACTCAAAATGTGATCACCAGAATTTGGGCCAGAGCACAGGTGTCTTTTTCAGATACTCCTGGTACAAGTTGGAGTTGCCCCATTTCTTCAACCCGTACCTCTCCAGAAGGGGGATGCCACTCACCCGGGTCAGCAGCAAGTAGACAAAGATCGGGGAGATGACGCTGAGGTACTGTTTCCCTGTCATGACCGAGGAAGCGGAAATGTAAAGTCCCGCCCACAGGATAATCTCTCCAAGGTAGTTGGGGTGACGACTTATACTCCATAGGCCAGTGTTGATGAACTTACCCTGTTTTGTAGGTATATAAAATAATATACAGCACAAATCGAAACAAAACCAAAAATACAACACTCAGCCAGCTTTGAAAAATTCATACATACAGGTATATTGTTTACCGAAAATGGATCACTTGGGAGACATTCCAATAGGAACGTGCACAAACACGTACAACATGCACATTTTTCAAACTTTACCGTCCCATAATTCAATATTCCCTCATCCGATCTAAACCAAACTTTGCATGTTTTCCTTTCAGACCCTAATCTATCATCTCTCAAAATGTGGTTGATAAAAAATTTTCCTTCTTTTGGTTGTTGGAGATTTAGGGAGACATTGAAATGTCTCCCTTATGACCGATGTCTCCCTAATGTTGAAAAATTCACCACAAAATGTCTCCCAAGTGACCTACATGTATTTGGAAATATATACATGTGCACATACTGTACTTTGTACAACATCCACAGACAAATTAAATTATGTCCTTTTTATACCATTCTTTTCAATGCTTGAGGAAGAATGGAGAAATGTACAGTCATGTGCGTGTTTCAGACTGTAAACATAAAAAAATGTGAGTTAAAAAAACCAGGAACCAGCTAGAGTTTTTGTCCATTTGCAGGACTTTTGCTCCTAGGAGTCGTGCACTGCAACTGAGCATTCGATTAGGGTGCCCGGGGCCTGACCTTTTCGTAGGCCTGTTAATTCTTCTCTCGTTAAACCTGAATCATTTCTGTCAATTTTCTGTGCCAATGAATAAGCAATCGAAGAGCACTTTATGCCAACATGATTATGGTGGCTACAAAGAGCTAAGGGCTGAAGTACCCTTTGGATGCTTAGCCAACAGTAGAATGCACGTCCTAACTACACAATGTAGAATGCAGATGGCACTAGTCACTGCAAGTAGTGAGTGACCTTTATGTTAGAGATTTATACAGTAAGAGCCAGTAATAAACGACTGTGTACACACACTAGTGGATTGCACTTATATAGTCAGTGTACAGTGTGTATGAGACCCATTTTCCGCAGTAAATTTAATCTGAATGAATCTGAAAAGCAAAAGCGGAGAGTAGCACACATACCGTATTGTCTGGGTCGGCTCTGAAAACTGCTTTCTGGTAGTCTGCTACAATCTCAAGGAGGAGCCCTACAACAAACATTCCCCATCCAACGTAGTCCCTCTTGGTCAGGGGCCTGTCGTTCGTCTGAGCATTCAGGATCTGAGTTGGGAGCAGTGTCAGCCACACCCACACAGCTTGAGAAAAAAAGAAGACAGGAACATTCAAGTTGAAGTCAGTAACTGGACTGACGTCTACGTGTACTTGACTCCATATCAGCACATACTTGTACATGTATATACATGTACCGTATAAGTATAGTCATGTGACTGTCATACTTGATGTAAGCAATCCCAATTTACAGAATACTTGCAGAACTAATCCTTTTTACAACTTTTTATGAAGGAGTTAAAGAATAAAAGGGTTGGAATATTTTCCTTTCTTACTGGGGTATCAGTCCGTTAGTTCAACTCAGGAGCAGGAGTGGCTTGAGACAAGCACAATGTCTGACATGTCACTTATGAGACTCATTTTCAGCAGAATCTGCACAAACCTTTGGCCTCTATACAGCTGAAGTGCACAGGACAGACACTGCCCCAAAGATGTAGCAATGTGGGCATTGTCTATGAGCCCCAAACTGGACCAAGAGAGGGTACAATTTTCCTAACAATGGAGGTTCCTTTAGCGGGAACTGCACCTCACAGGTTCACAAACAGAATAAAATGATCACTTTTTTCTACCACAAAATAAGCAATCTCCCAAACAACATGGCTATTTTTCAACTGATGAGGGGGTGCTTCTGCTCAAGGCAGATATTGGGGTATCGAATGATAATTTCATAGGCACTGACATTTCAGACAGAAACAGACAGAGGTGAAATTAGGTTTACAGATTTGGCCTAATCAAAATGCCGTGTTTCACGTTTTGAAATGTTAATATTCCAGATCTAGGGTTGCTCAGTGTAACAAAATGGAACAGTCCTGATCAAAGGCGGTAATCCTTTGCTGAATGTAAAACTTGTGTATGTACATGTACATGGATGGCACGCTGTGTCAAAATGCACAGTTTGAGAAGAGGCTGGTGTTTACAACAATTATTTCCTGATGATGGCCAGTTCTGCAAATTCATGGTTGTGCATGAAAATGCCGTTAAATGAAACTAACCTCGAGCATATTTAACAAATTTGCTAGAGCTTGCATGCACGGGGGAAGTCATATGTGGTAACACCACTGCACCATGTACACTCTGCCTCATGAATCAGCATAATATACCTCAGTTAGACCTGTACCACTCACAATACAGATCTGTGAAAATTAGCTGCAAAACAGAGAGCCCATCAAGTTTATGATGCAACTGACCTCTTCTGCAACAAGGCAATTTATTAAGATCACCTGCACATATCCTTACCTTGCATTGTCCAGAAAAAGAAGAAGAGACCAAGATTATTCTTTGCCTGTCGGAAGCGGCGATCTTCTCCCTCATTCAATACACGGCTGAACAGATACATGCCGAGTCTACAAGAAAGAAAGAAACATACATACATGTATGTCAACATCTTATTAAGCATAAATTTAGGTTTAATTTTTTTCAGAATGAAGGAAACAAAAGTGATAGTAATGATAATGCAGTAGAAATGAACCCATGAAGAAAACATTCACAGAAAGAAAGCAGTCCAAGTAGCACTACACATTTACAACAGCCAATTTGTTTTTCTTTCAAAAACAAACGCAAGTGTTGATGGCCCTCCGTGATCATGGATTTGTACATACTTCTTGTTAAAATCCAACTTCACGTTAGATCTGCACGCATTAATAATATTTCCCGTAAATAATTGAGCCTCAACATCTATTGCCTTTCATTAAATTTTATGGGCAACTTTCCCGTTAGAATCCTGAATCCCCCGATGTCCACGAAGTCCTGTAGTATTTTGATGTTCTCAGGTTGCACAGGTGAGTCACTTGTGATGTAAAAGTTCTTATGTGGATTTTTATCATTTTTTGATTCGGTTATTACTGCTGAATTTTGGGAGATCGAGAAATGATAGAATTACCTACTTGTGATTAAAATAAATAACAATTGGCTAAAGATATTACACCTGCAGACATTTCTTGACAAGACTGATTATAAGTTTATACCTGAGGGCCCAGACTCCAACCATTCCACTCTGAACCACCTGACGGAAGTGAAATGTTCCTCCCCATTTCAAGGTTTGGTAGGTCAGAAGAAGAAAAGTGCTGCTCCCTGTAACAGTAAACAATTCATGACAAGAAAGCCAAGAAATGTTATCATTACTGAAACGGTGGTACATTTCTGCCCTCTCCCATTGACAAAATAACTTCTGATCATCTGGTTCATAGGCCTATGGATATTTTTTCCATGAAAAGTGTGTACATAGACATATTACACTGAAACAATGGTCAACAGTCTTATTCCCAAACTAAGGGATCAATGACTAGAGAAAACATAAAATAATATCCAGTGGACAAGTTGTCCAGGGGGCAAGTGAGGCAAGTGAGGAGTGGTCTATGTACATGTGCATGTATGGGGCCGGTACACCGTGCTTCCATGTCTAACTTGTGGGATCCTTTGTCAACTGTTGCAACATGGAGAATAAATGTATGTTATTGGCCTTCCTGAATGTTCATTTTCTGTGTGAGCTCAAGAAAGAATTCTGGTGTGGTGCAGTCTACATGTACGTGTTTTATAGCCTGTACATGGGTCCCATTTGTGACTATGAGGCGTGAGTGGGTTGGTGGAGCCTATATAGGGCCAAGATGAACAGCAAACTTTGGCAATATGTGGCCCAGCTTTGTCCACTGCTTTAACTTTGTAGTGTGCCAAACCTGTCCAGAGAATACCCAAATTTGTCACGAAGTTGGGTAAGCCCAATTGCCCTACTCTGTTCAAGCAGCAGAATCGAGCATCTATAAACAAGAGTGCAATTAAATAAAAATTGTAAGAACTAGGCCATTTTTATAATTACCAACTTGTTGTTTTTACATAGCCCTACCTGTTTTTTTATGTTTTTTTTTTCACTGTCATCAATACATGAATCTTCCCTCAATTCTCCCTCTATCTCCATGCTCCACGAGCATGCCCACTTGATAAATTCAAAACCATCACCTCAAATTTACAGTTTCAAAATAGGCCGCTTTCTTCATGACATGTCACGCAGGAATTATAACACTGAAATACAAATTACAAGAAAAAATACAAAAGACAACCAGTCCGTTGCTTCAGCCATCAGGCACGTCAGGGTGGTTGAAGCATTTCATTAGTAATAGTATAGTAAAACCTTGTTTAATGCCTGGGCCTGAGAGCTAAGCCTCACTGGCAATTCCAACTAGGCTTATTGTAAGTTATGGGGCGTAGGCCTAACAAAACCACTTGGTTTAACTTTCCTATCTGGAATCATGGCTACCTCCATGCTTGAACCATGCATGGCCATGCTCAAACTTAGCTGTTGCAAGAAAACACTTGTAAGAAAACGCTTGTACTTTTTTGTAGTATAGATTCTCCGAAAACCGATTTGGACATCAAACCAGCGAGGTTGGAAAAGATGCTTAAAGCTTTATTTTCTTTGGCTTATGATAACTTCAAAAGTTTGGATAAGAAACACTGGATTGAACAGATGAATAAAGGTGACGGTGACATGATGGGGCCAAGTACATGTATAGTGGGACGCACCATAGACGGCCCGGACATAGGGCCTAGGTCCTACATATTACGTCCTACCTGCTAAATCATAAAACTTCTCGGTTTTGAGAGCAGCTGCAATAGCAAAGAGTCCCCACTGGATGCCGAAGTCCAAGACAGCACTTCTTGCAAGAATACTCATCGTAGGCTTCATGCTGGACAACAATGTTCCCATTTTCAATGATATCAGTTCACAGAAACCCCGAGCAGTTCGGAAGCAGACGAATGTCATGCACCACGCACATATTCGTTCTCGTCGTGTTATGTAAGTTCTCAATCTCAGAGCCAACTATAAAGATTTACGTGACAGTCTTACACGTTCAATAATCGTTTTATCTCATGAACTCGAGGTTGATTGTTTGCGGATAAGCGCGGAGCAGCATTGAACGTACGGTCGGCGCGTCACTGTATACTGTACATCATGTAAACATTATGCAGTCTTCTGTCCTCGCCAGTACATTAAAATGGCAGTGGCGTTTGTGCCGGAAATGGGGGGGGGGGGTGACTTGCCCGCCATGAAAACTTGAAATACAATATGTTGAAATTGTAATTTGTGCTCAGAGTGTAAGCATTTAAAATTTGTTTTCCTCTTTTGAGTGATATTTAATGCATTTCAGTCGTTGGAAAAACTCAATCCGCTTTATTTTTTTGCTCACCACAAAATTAAAAGTGTGTGGGGAGATGATTCAATAGGTCCCCCTCAAAGACAGGGGCTATACAACCCCCATTTACGCCCATGGTACATGGTCAGTGACATCTCAGACAATTATTTTCATGTGAATCGTTCCCTCTGTACTGCTGCATGATAACAACTTCCAAGGGACACTGAGGGCCTCGCAATGTTATCAACCATGAACAAATTATCCAAAGTCGTCTCCTGAACTTCCCCGGCGTGGTTTGTCACGGTAATCCATGGAAGTGCAATGGTGTCTCCATGGGTGAATTCCTCCATGGGTGAATTAAATGGACGAAGACCTTTCATCCAATTTAGAGAACATTTAGGTGAACAACTTTTATCATACAACAAAAGACTCAAAATATAGATTAATCTTATAGT